GCCTATCATGCTGACGTCATTGTTTACATTTTTGCTCATTTGCATACGGCTTTGCGTAAAGAAGGAAGCATGTTAGATACAAATTGACTTCAGGCAGCTAAAGAGCTAGAAAACCTTAGTACATGGTGAAATTTTTAGCTCTTTGGGTGTAATATTCAAGGAGAAATAGTCCATCAAAAACTGCAAAATTTCTGGGTGGCAAAAGCGCTAATGAGCTCATACATTCTATGTAAAATTTTGAGTTTTCAAACCCGTGTTGCACAAAAAGTATTCAATGCATCAGGCTCATATTCATTGGCCGAGTTAATCGTACTTTGACCTTTCGATATTCAGAACTGATTTATTTTTAGCTCCATCAGAAACTGAATTGCTTATGCTAATGAGGCAAATATTGTAAACAAGGATTCCCCTATAGCCAATACGGCAATGGTGATCACATCGCTTGAGTAACCCCATTGGCCAACATGGTCGGGTAGTAAAGTGCCAAGACAGCAATACTAAACCAAATAATGCTAAAACAGTACAGACAAAAGCTCATCATAAGAACAGTGATCCACTGTGGCAGCGATGAAAACCATCTCAGTACATTGTAATGACTCGTAAGTAGCATAATCCTAGACAGCCACACGCAATGGTACCTGATACCAACATAGCTCAGAATGCCAACAGCGACCCATGGAATCACTGCCAAGTGATCTGAACCATAGATTATCCTCACTTGGGCCACTACGGAAAGCAAACGCGAAGGGCTAGAATCAGAAATGATGGAATGTCTGATGTCAATACATTCCTCACTGCAGATCCTGTTAGGAAAACCCCTTGGCAAGGTTGGAATGTCATTGAGCCCGTAATAAAGGCTTTCCAAGATCCATCTATGTTGACATGGAGCGGCCACCACACAGCTGAGGGCCACCGAGGGAGAAGTAAGGTACCAATTTCACCTCCAGCTGACATGTCATGTGCCTCAGAACACGTGGAATAAGGTGCGGAGTAAGAAAAATCCAGTTGTTCTCTTCCAACCAAGAGATTGTAAATGCGTCGACTGCTTCACATCCTGGATTGCGGTATCTACTACAGAAGCTTTCCAGTTGTCTAGTCTGCGAGCTTGCAAAACGATCTACTGTGTGAGGGCCCCACAACCGCTCGATATATCTAAAGCAGGCAGGATCTAGCATGTAATCATTAGGGTCATCAAACCTTGACAACTCGTCTGCTTCCACGTTATAGTCCCTATTCACCCACTCCGTTGATAAACGCATATTCAACCCTCTACACAGTTTGTA